AATGGCAAAATTCTAAAATCGAAAAATTGAAAAATTTTGAAAAATTATACTTATTAGAAACATATTTAAAATTAAAACTAGAGAAACTGCAAAGTGAAGCAAGGAAAAATTGAAAAATCGATAACCTAAAAAATCTAAAACTGAAAAACGAAAGATTAAAAATCCAAAAATTTAAGACCGAAAAATTGCAAATTGAAAAACCCAAAAGTCTTAAAATTGTAGAATTTCACATAGAAAAAACAAGAAAAATTATAAAATCAGAAAACTGATAAACCGAAAAATTGAAGAAATATAGAAAATAAAAAATCGAAACAAAGAATTGTAAATCGAAAAATTGCAAAATGTAAAAAATGAAACGTCCAAATTATGGAAAATCGAAAAATTAAAAGTGAAATCTCGCAGACTGTCGAAATATTGAAGAAGAAAAACATGAAAAACTGAAAAATTGTAAACCAAAAATTTGATGAAATGAAAATAAACGAATCGGAAAAGTTAAAACGTGAAAAACTAAAAAATCGGAGAAAATTGCAAACCGAGGAACCGAAAACACGAAAACTTGAAACATTGAAAAAGTAAAAATCGGGAAACTTCAAAATATAAAAATAAATAATCAATCGAAAAATTAGGAAGAAGAAAAATTGGAAAACTAAAAAATTATAAAATCGGAACATTATAGAATTGTCAAAAATGTAAAAGTCGAAAAACTGTAACATTGGAAGATCGAAAAATTGATGACTAAATATTGAAAAATTGACGTATTAATTAAAAATTGAGTAAATAACAGGTTTTAAAATCAAACAATTGAAAAATGGAAAAATTCTAAAATCGAAAAATTGAAAAATTTTGAAAAATTATAATTATTAGAAACATATTTCAAATGAAAACTAGAGAAATTACAAAGTGAAGGAAGGAAAAATTGAAAAATCGAGAAACTGAAAAATCTAAAACTGAAAAATGAAAGATTAAAAATCCAAAAATTTAAGACCGAAAAATTGCAAATTGAAAAACCCAAAAGTCTTAAAATTGTAGAATTTCACATAGAAAAAAAAAGAAAAATTATAAAATCAGAAAACTGATAAACCGAAAAATTGAAGAAATATAGAAAATAAAAAATCGAAATAAAGAATTGTAAATCGAAAAATTGCAAAATGTAAAAAATGAAACGTTCAAACCATGGAAAATCGAAAAATTAAAAGTGAAAACTCGAAGACTGTCGAAATATTGAAGAAGAAAAACATGAAAAACTGAAAAATTGTAAACCGAAAATTTGATGAAATGAAAATAAACGAATCGGAAAAGTTAAAACGTGAAAAACTACAAAATCGGAGAAAATTGCAAAAAAAAATCGGGAAACTTCAAAATATAAAAATAAATAATAATCAATCGAAAAATTAGGAAGAAGAAAAATTGGAAAACTAAAAAATTATAAAATCGGAACATTATAAAATTGTCAAAAATGTAAAAGTCGAAAAACTGTAACATTGGAAGATCGAAAAATTGATGATTAAATATTGAAAAATTGACGTATTAATTAAAAATTGAACAAAGAACGGGTTTTAAAATCAAACAATTGAAAAATGGAAAAATTCTAAAATCGAAAAATTGAAAAATTTTGAAAAATTATAATTATTAGAAACATATTTAAAATTAAAACTAGAGAAACTGCAAAGTGAAGGAAGGAAAAATTGAAAAATCGAGAAACTGAAAAATCTAAAAAATGAGACGTACAAAATTTGGAAAAACGAAAAATAATAAAAATTTAAAACGAAAACTCGAAAATTTGTAAATTGAATGTTTGAAGAAATGATAAATTAAAGAATCGAAATATTTAAAACGTGAAAAACTAAAAATCAGCATCAAAAAATTTAAAAATCGGAAAAAAGAAAAAATGAAAAATTGTAAAATACAAAAAGTGGAAAATCAGAAAATTGCAAACAGAAGAACTGAATAACTGAAGAAACGAAAAATCGAAACATTGAAAAAATAAAAATCAAGAAACTTCAAAATGTAAAAAAAAAAAAATGAATCGAAAAATTGGGAAGAAGAAAAATTGGAAAACTTAAAAATTGTGAAATTGGAAAATTATAGAGTTGTCAAAATTGGAAAGTCAAAAATTGTAACATTGACAGATGGAAAAATTGAAAATTAAACATTGGAAGAAAACTGACATTAAAAATTGAAGAATTTAATAAATGAAAAAGTTTTAAAATCAAATTATTGAAAAATGGAGAAATAAAGCTGAAAAAGTGAAAATTTTTAAAAGTTATTATTATTATTAGAAGTATATTTAAAATGAAAATTAAAGATATTGCAAATTAAAAATTGAAGAAAGGAAAAATTGAAAAATCGAGAAACTGAAAAACCTAAAATTGAAAAAACGAAAAATTACAAAATCAAAAAATTGAAAACCGAAAAATTGCAAATCGAAAAATCCAAAAATCGTAATTTTAACAATGAAAAAAAGAAAAATTACAAAATCAGAACACCGAAAAATTCATGAAATAAAGAAAATCAAAAATCGAAAAATTTAAAAATTAATTTCTAACTCACGAAGTTGCAAATCAAAAAAAAGAAAATTTGTAAAATCGAACAATTTAAAAATTAAAAAATGAAAACCCGGAGAGTTGCATAATAAAAACATGAAAAATTGAAAAATTGTAAATCGAAAAACTGAAGAAAGGAAAATTTGTGAATCGATAAGTTGAAGAAATGAAAAATTGAAAAAACGAGAAGCTGAAAAATTGAAAACGTAAAAAACTAAAAAGTAGAATCAAAAAACTGAAAAATCGGAAGAAATTAAGGGATTAAAAACGAAAAATTGGAAAATCCAAAAAGTGGAAAATCAGAAAATTGCAAACCGAAGAACTGAAGAAACGAAAAATCGAAACATTGAAAAAGTAAAAATTGAGAAACTTCAAAATGTAAAAAATTAATTAATCAAAAAATTGGAAAGAAGAAAAATTGGTAAACTTAAAAGTTGTAAAATCTAAAAATTGTAGAATTGTCAAAATTGTAAAGTCGAAAAACTGTATGTAACCTTGAAATTTCGAAAAACTGAAAATCGAAAACTTGAATAAATGAAACAGTTTTTAAATATCACAATTATTATTAGAAGCATATGTAAAATGAAAACTTGAGAAATTGCAAATCAGAAAATGAAAAATCTAAAATTGAAAAATCCAATAATCCAAAAGTTACAATTTTTACATTGAAAAAAGAAGAATAATAAAATCAGAACACTGAAAAACCGAAAAATTGAAAAATTAATTTTTAACTCAGCAAGTTATAAATCGAAAAATTAGAAAATCTAAAAAATGAAACGTCCAAAATTTGGAAAAATTGAAAACGTGAAAAACAACAAATTAGAACAAAAAAACCAAACAATCGAAAAAATCAAAAAACGATAAATTGTAAAATCCAAAAAGCGGAAATCAGAACATTGCAAATCCAAGAACTGAAGGAACGAAAAATCGAAACACTGAGGTGACTTCATCAATTTTTTGGGGGGATAAACAAATACGTTTTGATCAAAAATTTATCGTGCTTATGCAAAATGTTGTTTTATACTTTTGCTTTTTTTTTTCAAAAATCTGGACGTTGCGGGTAAAAACTTATCACGGAGTCATAAACTACATGTGTAGGACTTAAAACCCATTTACTATGTACAATTTTGAAGTAACGTCATCACATTATTAGATAAAGTTTGGTTAACGTTTTACCATCTACATGATATTCCTAATATAAGTACAAAATTTGACAACAATTGGCCCAGCACCTTCGGAGATTATCTGTCTAATAAAAATCCGGGACGGCAGACAGATCGACAGACAGACAGACGGACAGATAGACGGACAGACAGACGAAAACGTAAAAGTAAAAAATTATGGTCCACTTTTGTCTAAAAACGTCCTGAACGGTTAATACTAATTTGTTCATGAAATGCGTGTACGATCGATAGGTAAGTGATCCGTTTTCATTTTATTGGTCGACACAGATACGAGGAGTTGCAGTTTCAATAAGCAAAATTTCGCTCTCTAATTCGGTGGTGCTTAAATATCTCCACTCGTCATGTAATGCAAGATAAATCTTCAATATTAAGTCAACAGACTCATTAAAATCCACATTACACCCGAAACAAGATTTTCCACTTTGGCAACCAGAAACCTCGTGTAATTATTCACGCGAAAATCGGTTAGACTTCACTCTTTATAAGCTATTGAAATATTCAGATTATCATTTACTAAAGGCAGAAACCACCGACAGCGACAGGTTGGGTTAAATAATGAAATCAACACACAAATTCGCTTTGTTTTCTTCTCGTTGCATCCGAACCCGCTGATTCGTGTCCCCATTAAAACCGTAAGAATTGAATTATCTATGACAATTGCGTCAAACGTCTTGTTTGGCCGAGAGCTCGATTTAATTATACTGTTTATGTGACAAGGGCAAAACGTCCCATTCAAACGGGAAAGCTTTCAGGAGAACAAGCCAACTGACACAAACTTCCTGTCGTAAGAAATTCAGTTGGTCAGACACGAAGGCTCGGAGGGAACGAGGGGACGGTTTGTCGATGGCTGAAATTTCGTCCGATTTTAATCGTGTGTATAATTCGACGGCTTAATTAAAGACGTAATTGTCGCCGGACGTAACAACTGTTGCTAATAAAAGACATATTTCTAGCAATGCAGCCTGAAGCAATAACGTTTTTATTTGTTTTCGTCGGCCATGTGCCAACGTGAGGGCCGCGAAATGAGGGTGTATCAAGTAAGGCAAAAAAGACACTTAAGCTGCTCGTTTCAGATTAGGGGCTGTTTGGCTTTAGGGAGATTAAAATCACCACGAATCGCGCCGAGATTTAATTAGAAAGTGCTCTATTTTTACAGATTCGACAAGTTTGCGCAAATTTGAATTCTATATTAGAACTCGTGTCGATCGCTAATGTAAAGTAAAAATAACCAAGGACCGCGATTTGACCCTTTCAAAAAAAAACGGAAACTCACCTTTGTGTAGAAGGCCCAAGATGGCGACGACTGCAAAAAACGTGTCCCTCACCGCCTTCATCCTGTAACAATTAAGAAAAAATTTAGTATGCATCCCACCTCTCGCCTCGCCTATGCAAACAGACAAACCGGAACAGCCGTCACGAAAAGCGAGAATCAAGGCCATAAAAGAGGCGATGTGAGCAATATGTAATGCTAACTTTGAAATATGCCCCTATTCGGCTCGTTCTTTTCGCCTCCGCCGCTGTAATTTAGGCAGAGAGAGGGCGAACGAGACAAGAGGACGTGAGTTTAATCTAATTCCGGACAGTTAAGGTGGTTGGGTTATTTATAGCGCATAACGTACACATTAGGACGTGTATTTTAATATGGTGGTTCGCGTGGCGTCTCGCGTCTCCTTCTAGCCCGCGACCTTAGCTCGAGTTTATGTAGACAGACATTACACGTGTTAAAGGGATTTGTGCGATCTGTAACAGAAACATCCCGTCAGGATTGTTTGGGGAGGATGGTTTCGTGCTTTAACTCGGATTCGGTAAGGAACGTGAATTTTGTCTCGGGAGATTTAGGGGGAGAACGATGCGAAAATAAACTACGTCGCACCTAGTTAATATGGCAGGGATTAGCGGAGCGAAAACAAGCATAAGTCGATCGAAAACTTGAGAGGAATCGAAAATGTCAAGGAGGAGAATTGGTGGATGCGCCGGGACGAGTTAACTGATCAGACGAATGTATACAAGACGCTCCGAACTTCCAATACTCAGAATTAGACGACTGGGAAAGCCCATAATCCAAAAAAAAAGATGAGTCGTTTTAAAATTTTCAATTTAATGACAACATTACTACTGTGTTGTTAACTTCCTGTTGGTGGCGGCATTCACGTATTAAGCAGCATCTCAAAAGCATTCATCTAATTTTTCTTACGCATTGTCCTGAAATCTTTTCCTGATAAAATTAATTAATTTGGTTTAGATGAAATCTCGTATTAATTATTTACTGCTCCGCTTTTTCTCCATTTTCGTAATTTCGAAGTTTTTGTTTATTGAGCATCGACGTACATTCGCGGTTGGGAAAAAATTTAAATCAACCGCACACAAGAAGTTTCAAGACGCTGCTACACATAAATGTCGTAGGAATCGTAGGTGACCAATTCCTCCAGGACACCCCGACTTATTTTGTTTCATTGCCAATAGAAGTTATTGGAGGTGCTTGATCTAAGGAACACTGACTATAATTTGTGTCTAAACACTGAGTATTATTTTAAATTTATTGCTCTTAATGTTTCAAAAAGAGATTGTGCTAAGTCCTCTCATCCGAACACTCTTCTTCATTTAATTAAGTAGTAGTGAAACACACCATGCTGACACTACCACCAGACTGATAAAAGCAGCTTCTGTTTTTTTCTTTTATTGTAAATTGTAGCCTAGAGTTTGCCGTTGAGGCAACAAGTACTGGGTCAACCAGACATGTTTTTTACATTTTGATTGAGTCTTCTTAGGCTTTACAATCATAGTTTATTTGAAATTTCGATGAGACGTTGTCACGTTATTCCAATTTTCTTTAATTTTTTTAGCAATGGAAGTTTTCAAAAAAAAATGCAATAGTGTTATTTTTAAAATCTGTCTTACAACATTTTGTCGAAAGATAAATAAAGGTACGGGCTTTATCCCTGTATCAACTAAATCAAATTTTAATAAACAGAGTTATATTTAAAAAAAAACTACAAAAAAAAGACAACAAAAAATAGAATTAAGATGCAGTTATCAAATCTAGAGTGTTTCTACTTGAGAAAACTGCACTAGCGATATTTGAAAAGTATAAAAATTAAAACATTCTTATAAACACTCTGTATATGAAAATTTAATCTCATTGATACTACAACAAAGCATGTACCAGTCCTTATTTCCCCACAAAATGTTGTAACACAGATTTCAGAATTAATACTACTATGTTTTTTGAACCCTTCCATTGCTAAAAAACTTCAAGAGAGTTGGAATATCGTGGCAACGTCGCATAGTAATTTTAAAAATAAACTGTGATTGTACTAAAGATTGTGTAAAGTCTAGGACGAAGTCAATTAAAATATGTAAGGATATATAGGGTGTTTCGTTTAAGAAAACCAAGTTGTGTACGCATTAAAGACAGAACACTGTGTATAGTTAAAAATAATATTAGAGTGTAGTGCTCAAAGAACCGTACAACTTTGGTCTTTGAATGTTATGCATTAGGAACCGATTCCATCTAGATTATAGACATTTTCACTTAGCAACAATATTTTTTTAAATATCTACCTATTTCAATAAAGAAGAATGTTCGGATGAGAAGACGTAGCACAATTAAACAGGTTAAACGATTTTATGACTTTCGACCTTAAATGTGTTAGCATTTGACAAGATAAGACGCATTTCGTCATTTTCGACCATTTTTCAAATATTTTCAAAAATTAGTTGAAGACATTGCATTTTCTGTAGACTTTTATTCATTAGAATGAGAAGAGGGTGAGTAGTACTTGCTAAAATAAGACTGATTTTGGAAAATTACATACCTTCCAAGAAAACAGAGGGCGGGTGGGCGGGGGTAGTACTTACTAAGATAAGACTGAAGTTGGCAAATGAGATACCCTCTAACAAAATAGAGGGTGGGTGGGCGGGGCTAGCATTTGACAAGATAAGACTGATTTTGGCACTTTAGACATTTGTAATATGTAATATTGGCGTCTTGTCTCCGAACTAAATTCTCAGATTCTGTTGTACATTCTGTTTTACCATAACAGCTATGCTACTTCTTGTTACAGAAAACCTTATGGATTAGTAACCGATTCTATCTAGATTATAGAAACAATATTCTTTTAAATATCTACCTATTTTAATAGAGTAGAGTGTTCTGACGAGAAGACGTAGCACAATTAAACAGGTTACACTATTTTATGACTTTCGACCGTAAATGTGCCAGTGTTTGATACGATAAAATGCCTTTCGTGATTTTTTACCATTTTTCAACTATTTTCGAAAATTAGTTGAAGACATTTTCTTGTAGATTTCGATATCCAGAAGTCTTTTTCGATTTCGTTTCTTCGGAAATTCCTATCGTTTTTCCAAAATGGGTAATAGAAATACAGCAATTTTTACAGTTTCGTCAAAATAGCTGGGTAGAAAAATTTTGCAGATAAAAAAAATTATTATAAATTTTTCTTTCACGAAGTTCAGTTGTTTTAAGAATGTACTTTGTAGTTTTTATATGTTTAAAATTTGTTTATTTGGGATAATAGAGAACTCAGTACGAATCAGATTAGGTCGCTTTTTTACTTTTTTTACATCCTAGATTCTATTAGCTTCCACTCCTACTCGACAGAAGAACATAAATAGCCCCGCCCGCCCACCCTGTCTCCTTTTCAGTGATTGATTTTAACCCATCTGAATGAAATGAATGATATTATACTGAACAGAAACAAAATTATTCGTTAGAATGAGAAGAGGGTGGGTGGTGGGGCTAGTGCTTATTAAGATAAGACTGATTTTGGAAAATGACATACCTTCCAAGAAAACAGAGGGCGGGTGGGCGGGGGTAGTACTTGCTAAGGTAAGAGTGAAGTTGGCAAATGAGATACCCTCTAACAAAATAGAGGGTGGGTGGGCGGGGGTAGTATCTCCTAAGATATCACTTATGAGATTTTAGTTTTGGCATTTTTTAATATTTCATTTTTTTTTGATTTCTCAAGTTTTCGATTTTGTATTCATTTTTTCGGTTTTTTGATGTTTCGATTTCTCGATTTTTCAAGTTTTTGTTTGTTCAATTCTTCGATTTTTAAAATGTTTGGTTTTTCGATTTCTCGATTTTTCAATTTTTCGATTTAGATTTTACCGATATTTTGAGATTTTTCAATTATTCGATATTTTAATTTTTCTTCGATTGTTGAAACTTTGGCATTTTTTAATATTTCATTTTTTCGATATTTCAGTTTTGCGAGTTTTCATTTTTTTTCTTCAATTTTTCGGTTTTTCAATTTCTCGATTTTCAATCTTTTGCCATTTTTTCATTTTTAGATTCCTCAGTTTTTCGACGTTCAATTTTTCGATTTTTAAATTTAATTTTTCAATTTTTGAACGTTTCTAAATTTTCGACTTCTCGATTTCTCAATTTTTCAATTTTTCAGTTTTGTGATTTTTCTGTTGTTTTATTCTTTAATTTTTCCATTTTGTAATTTCTCGATTTTCGTCTTATATTAGCAGGTACTAGCACCGCCCACCCACCCTCTCTTTTCTTAGAGGGTATGTCATTGCCCAAATCAGTTTTATCTTAGCAAGTACTGATGGCTAACTTTTACAAAAAATGATCAAAATTTGGAAACCTTAGACAGTATGTTCAAAATTGCTGCCTTCTGCACTTTCGACATTTGTAATATGTAATATTGGTGTCTTGTCTTCAAACTAAATTCTCAGATTCTGTTGCACATTCTGTTTTACCATAACAGCTATGCCACTTCTTGTTAAAGAAAACCTTATGCATTAGTAACCGATTCTATCTAGATTATAGAAACAATATACTTTTAAATATCTACCTATTTTAATAGAGAAGAGTGTTCAGATGAGAAGACACAGCACAATTAAACAGGTTACACTATTTTAGGACTTTCGACCGTAATTGTGCTAGTATTTGATACGATAAGATGCCTTTCGTCATTTTTGAGCATTTCTCAACTAATTTCGAAAATTAATTGAAGACATTTTCTTGTAGATTTCGATATCCAGAAGTCATTTTCGATTTCGTTTCTTCGGAAATTGCTACCGTTTTTCCAAAATGGCTAATAGAAATACAGCAATTTTTACAGTTTCGTCAAAATAGCTGAGTAGAAAAATGTTGCAGATAAAAAAAACTATTATAAATTTTTCTTTCACGAAGTTCAATCGTTTTAAGAATGTACTTTGTAGTTTTTATATCTTTAAAATTTGTTTATTTGGGACAATAGAGAACTCAGTACGAATCAGATTAGGTCGCTTTTTTACTTTTTTACATCCTAGGTTCTATTAGTTTCCACTCCCACTCGACAGAAGAACATAATTAGCCC